TTCATTTTTATTACTACTATACGTCGATACACATAGAGAAAATCGAAACGATAGTGCCCCAAGTAAATGATGTGTCTATTTCGTCGTGAGCTTAATCGACAGAATCGGTGAGGATGGTCACCTTAACGTAACACATGATCAGAGCATTTACAAACTATTTGAATACTCAAATATTACCGTAATCAAAAAATATTGCACCTTAACAAACTGTACAAGATCATCCATTGACTCGATAACCTCGGCGACGGCGAGGTAGTCCAAAATTTTCTTGCAGCCGCGGACGATCTTCCTAACTTCGCTCTCGTCGAAACACAACAGCAACGCAGAGGTTCCTTGCAGGATTCCTACACGAGCAATGAGAAACCAGAACATAAACGCCAAACGACTGTGAAGACGAACGCTAGGCGCTCGTTTCTACCTCTCGCTCCTTCGATCAGCTTCTTCCGACCAAGACTAGAGTATGGATCGCCTTTCAGCACCGTACAGGCCTCCTCCAATAGTCGGGAGCTGGTCTCAACCCTTTGCAGGGCCGAAGGCATGTCTTGCTTAAGTATTTCATCGTCCGACGAATGACACGTGTCGTAGCCCACCTGTAACCACAACGGGCGTCACAACCTTCCATACCAACATGTACACAAATACTAAACTAGCCTTAACATATAATGTATAGCTCACTCAGAGAGGATGTACTAAGTTTCAGGCACAACTTATTCATAACGTCTGCAAATACTGGCATTGCGATAGACTTCATAACAACTTGCGCTTGATTGTGGTTTCTAACATCCACTTATAACTAACGTACTAAATCCGTAAAAACCCTTTGCTGCCATTTGCCTGTCTTTGCGTTGTAGGCCATCGTTCAGTTCGAAATTTGAAGATGATCGCTTCGGTTTCATCAACAAATGCAGCAGAGAAGCTACCCGGGCGGGCAAGTGAAGTCCATTTGCCACGACATCTTCAGGGCCATTTGCCACGACATCAAAATGAGGAATCTGACGCTCATTTATAATTCTACAATAACTAGTTCCTTAAACAACGGTTTTACAAACGATAAACAAATACGGAAAGTGCTTATGGCATAGGTCACCGGGTTCACCCCACGAAGTTCCGAAAAACGGTGAAACGTACCGATTCATTAAGTCCTTTAAACACAAGAACGTACGATGTACCATACGTGTAAATTTCTACGGGCAGGCATATACTCACTACAACAGTATAAGTACTAATCGAAATACTGTTATACATTACAGAGCCAGAAGTACCATACAAACCTTTATGAAGTACAAAGTATTATACAACGTGAGCAAAGACATGAACGCCAGAACATATGAAGTAAGCGATAGACCTGAACGAGGTTGTCCACTGCCCTAGACACTGCCTCGACGGGCCGTGTAAGATCTGGCATTGCGTTCCCATCTTCCGCTTCTTCATGTAAAATGACCAAACGAGAGACCTGAACGAATAGGAAATTTTCAATTAGCGAAAAACAGACACCAAAATAGTGAAAAACTTGAAAATATG